CCGGCGCAAGGAAGAGGGGAAAAAACAAAACATGAAGAAACTAGAGCATCACTCGAAGGTGGGTTATTGTATGAGTCAGATGTACAACTTGCGAATGTTGTATAAGTCAAATTGCCAATTGCCATATTAAAACATCAGCTGCATTTCACGACATGAAGAAGGCAGTCTCTGCAGAGCATACAGGCTAATGGAGATGCAGTTATTTCCAGCATTCTTTATTTACCATTCATTCAAGTATGTGATGCCTTTTATCTGCAAATGTACAGGAGGAAGAGTGATACACTGTCTGTCTAGTTGGCTTACATAACAGTTCAAGTTTACAGCTTAAAAAACATGGAGCATTTTTTCCCCCTTTTATTCATTTTTATGTCAATTTGCACATTTCATGGTGACGCTCAGCCTCTCCCCTTAACTCCTAACAGTCATCATCATGTCAACCACAACACAGAGAAATACTGATAGAAATGTGTGTGTAGTTGTTGATACATTGCTGACAGAGGGAACTAGAATACAGATGTAAGAAATATCAGTTTTTGAGCATGTCATAAGCATGTTTTGTCTTGATTATATTACAACTAAATTATAATAAAACAATATAGTATTTATATTATTGAATTGATTATGATTATTAGAAGTAGTTTATTTGCATTCATTATATTTTAATCTTTTTGAGGCTAGTATTTGGCAGGATATGCAGACGTACATGCACATTTACCATTTACCTCACTGTATACAAAAGTAACTGTTGATACTAATAATAAACAGGAATTATATTTATATAAGTAGCCTACTTTGTTTCCAAAAAAATGTGTTTCACTCCTGTCGGTTGGGGGGGGGGGCCTCATCTCACAATGTCGCTTGGGGCCCCAAGTTGGCCAGGGGCGGCCCTGCGCAGCATTATGCATTTGTGATTTGTTTGCATGCCCACCGGAACCCTAAGGCATTACCAACAGATCAACGCACAATCAACCCATACAGGACATCTCTTTCTCCACATTAAGTGTTAGACAATAGAATTGACTCTTCTTGTCTGTCACATCATCTTTTTGTTTGTTTTATTGCGCTAAGGGGAAATGACTTTTGACCGGACATTTTGACCGGAGAGATTTAGATTTACCGGTCATAGTCCGGTAATTACCGGCTAACGGGAACTCTGATATAGTTGGTCGGACTAAACAAGCAATTTGTAGATATCCTCTTAAGGAACCTTGATTCACCGAATAATTCATAGACTAATTGAGAAAGTAATACAAATCTATAGTTGCATGAATATGATTAATGTGGGAAATAAACAGGAGAGTCCTCTGAGGTAAGCTTGTTTCATATTAATATACAAAGTTGAAATATAACCATGCCTTATGGAGGAGTCTGGTAATATTTACCATGTTTATGTGGATACATTTTTTAAATGAAATGCTGAACCTTCTAACTCCGAAGAGCAAACGTTATATTCCCACTTCCCCCTGGCCGATTTAAATCCAGCTAACTGTGAATCAGGGAAATAGCCTCAGGTATAGAAAGTGGCTTTATTGCATAATAGTCCAGGTCAGGCTAATATTATCATACATCATGTTCTATAGGAGTTAGAAATGGCTGTGACGAGGCCCCGGGGCCAAGCTGTCTTTATTTACTGATGTGAGTAAATCTGAGGAAGCAGTCGACTAAAACCTATTTACTTTTCTATAGCGGCGTCATGAGGGATGGATAGAGACGGCGAACAGAGAGAAAGACTAACACAAGGAGCTACACAGGCTAATCTAACAATTAGTATTCACACAGCTGCTTTTCTCTTTCTTCCTGCATTTACGTATGATACATTCCAGTAATGCCACAGTGGATGGAATTTACACAAAGCTGATTGAATTTCCTCATTAAACATAAGAAGGAAATCATTAAAAAATGAGCCTGTACATCTTCCACACTGTATAATGGAATTGACTTAGTGGGGTTTTTGGCATTTTCCCCAGGGCGAGGACTGAAATTATGCATTTCAATCATAGGTACTTCAATGAGAAACACCCTTTTTTCAATACTACAATATAGGGCTTTTGTACCACATTTGACACAAGCCATTGCGTTCTTTCATTACAAGATACAAGGTGAAGTCTTAACAAATGAATGTTGTTGCACATGTGTTTACCTCAGTATACCAGAACATTTCTCTGTGCCTGTGCAGTAGACCGGTGACCTGTCTATCCTCTTTTGACAGGTAAAGCTTTACAAACAGTTTGTTGTAAAGAGACATAAAGGAGGCTTAACATCACAATCACTTCCTGAATCAAACACAGTCCTGACCCAAGACTGTGGCTTCCAACATTGTTTGTAACACCCTGTTTATATATGCCCAAAGTACTATCATAATGTCACTTGATGTTGTTCCAGAAACATCTACATTTCAGCTATAGCACCTTGACACAAACAATGCAAACGTTGTGAACTGATGATGAAAGATACAGAAACAGTTCAGAGACATGATGTTCAGAAATGACTGCTAAGATTAGACAGAAAACTCATTCTGTAATCTCTAAACAAACCAACACATCTGCACATAAAATATCACCATAAACAGCCAATCACATCCCTCGGAGGTCAACTACTGCAATCTAAATACAAAATGTATGCTTAGGTTTGTTGATATGAGACTTTAATAGCACGTGAAGGGGAGGTGAGGTTTTGAGTTGCTAATGTTTGTGCCATGTTGAAGGTTCAGAATAGTGTAGTTGTTGATGCATTAGAATAGGGCATACGTACATCAAATGAACTTGTGTCATTACTTAAATGTTCTCAAGAGCTGCACAAATTCATCATTTTATATTAGGAATCAATTGAATGGCTGTGTATGAAGTGACATTGGTTACTTGTGGTTGGGAACACCTTAAGGCACGGACACGCCAACCCGATTATCGGCGTCGGTGGGCGTCAGGCCGACGATGAGCGTCGACACGCCCTACTCGGATTGGTGTGTCCCGCACCGTTGTGTCTTTTCAGCCGACCCGACGTCTTTTCGGCCGAAAACCCGGGCAGTCGGCCAAAGAAATCACTGATTGGATATTCAGCTAGCGAATCAGTGCATGAGAAGCGAAACGGAAGTGAGATTTCATTTAGCTCTCGACTCAGGTTCGGGAAAGCCCCGTGAACTTCTCGCTGTAGAGTGAAAATGGAACGTACACGCTATTTGTTGTTTGTTTATATCACGCAGTCTGTTCTTCTTCTCTCGGTTATCACGCAGTCTGTCTTCCGGTTGTTGCCTCTTTTGAATGACGAATACACACTACCGCCGCCTGCTGGTAAGGAGAGTTATTGGCACTCACGCATGCGCAGTTCGTACGTGCTACTTGGCCGTCGGCTGAAGTCTTTGCGGGGTGTTCCAGTGCGACACATGGCCAAGACGCAGAGACGTGAGGCGACGCAACAGTCGGGGTCCGTCTGTGTCAGTTCTTTGTTGTCAGATTGGTGTGTCCGGGTCTTTACTCTACAGTTCCCCTCAAGTCTTAAAAGTATTTTAGTGTCTCTGAGCTCTTTGTTTTGGTTAACGGCCAAACACTGCACTGTTTGGGTCCACTCCCACTGCTCACATTAACCTAATTCCAGCAGAAAAGCACTCTAAGCCTCCAGCACAATAGCAAACAACTAGCTGAATGGAGCAGCCATAGAGCCCCTTAATTCCTTAAAGAGTGAAGCAAATAGAGCTAGAAGGAGACCTAATACTCCCGTTACAATGGCAGAAACACACGTCTGATGGATGTGTCAATCAACAACTGTTTACTGAAATGTTAACAAGGTGATAATGTCACACCAATTTGAAACATGGCCATCTTTCCTCTTATTTCCACGAGTAATTTGAGGCAGTTTACTGTAAATGATCTAGAAGGAAATATATTGGTACTCTGACACAGACCTGCATCTTGACATAAAAGGGGAACATTAAATAAATAAACGGATAGAAAAAATTCAAACCGTATCACAAGTTTATTTGGTGTCAAGAGATTTCTCTTATCAGCAGTGGGCGCACAGACACCTCTTTGAATGCCATCGTATCTAGTCAAGAGCTGCTCTAAACTGTCACATATACCACCCACTGATATAAAAAACACACACACACACACACACACACACACACATCTAAACAAATATTCTCAGTGAGGATTTAATTAGGTCAAGAGAGAGACAGAGGAAGAGATTTGAACAAATAAAAAATCCAATTCCTGCTCTTATTAATCCAATCAGTCAGAAAGAATGACTCATTATGTGTACAAACAACACATGGATTGGAGTACACACACTAAACCTGACTGTCTCATTAAAGAGTTATTCTAAATATGATATCACTTACAAGATGGTATCCTCTAATTGGCTACATCAGAAGTGTCAGGACTCCTTTTAAAACATATAAGGGGCTGTTTTATCTCAACACTTTCAAGTCACAGTTCCCTTTATACCTTGGCACAATTAGGGAGAAAACCAAATACACTGCAGATGAAATGTGATGTTAATGAGTTGTATTGACCCTCTGCCATTGGCTCATGCGCCGTGGTAACAGAGCTGTGGGATTCTCTCCTTTAAGCTCCGTGTTTACTTTGGCGGCAATTATCCGAGTCCAGCTTTTAAGCCAACAATCTCAGCCAAATAAACACAAAGAGACAGCGCTACGAGCAACATGTAGAGTCTGTGTGTGTGTGTGTTTTTGTAGCTGAGGGGGATAAGAAAAGGACTTTAAAAAGATGCAGTTAGTATCCTAGTTTAATTTGCTTCTGCTACACACACACACACAGAATCCAACTGGAGGAGGATCAGTCCGAGTAGAAACACCAACAACTGGCAAGCAGCCCAAACAGAATCTAAATATATGATAAAGTTGACATTTAGAGGCATTCATAGATGGATGACGGCCAAGTTGGCTGCTAATCTAAAGGTCAAGGCTGCTGGTGGCAGGGACAAGAGATCAACCGTGTGTGTGTGTGTGTGTGTGTGTGTGTGTGTGTATTTGGTCTCACACTCACCAAATAGATTGCTGGAGTGGCCTGTCTTGGAGACGGGCCTGAGCTCATTGGAACCCCAGGCGTAGCGCCGGTAGCTGTCCCACGCGTGTTTCATCATCTGTAAGGGAGGAGGGGGAGGGGGAGGAGGAGGAGGAGGGGGAGGAGGAGGAGGAAGAAGAGGAGGAGAAATGAATAGAGGACAATCAACTCTGAGCTGTGACAAAGACAATTAAGTCGTTTTTTTAAAGCAAAGCAGTGGGTTGTTTGTCTCAAAGATACCGGATGTTCTGAGGCTAATTAGGGCTGCTCAATTAATCGTATTTTAATCGCAATTACGATTTTAGCTTGCAACGATTATGAAAACAACGTAAACGAAATAAAACGATTTTTTTTTTTTATTATTGGTTTTGAATTATACTTAAAGTTGAGGGTAATCAACTGTTAATAACACACAGTTCAAATGTTTCTGTTTCAATAAATGGATGTTTTCAAAGTAAATGGATAATCGTTTTTAATAATCGTGATTTCAATTATTGACCCAAATAATCGAGATTATGATTTTTGCCATAGTCGAGCAGCCCTAAGGCTAATACCATGAGAGAATTGGATGATGAGATTTTGTTCTACACATATGCTTTATTTTTAAACAAAAACTATAGGTACAAATTAGTATCTTATATAATAAAAAAACACGGTTTCAAAACAACCCTGAAGATACTTTTTTGTTCCTTGTTGGTGGAAATATACGTAAAAACAGTAATAAATTGTGTTTGTGTGATCAAATAATCATGGTAAATAAAATCAAGCATCAGCAATCCATTTACGAAAGATCCTGTGGCATTTAATCACGTTAACACCTGACATTATTCAGTTTAGTATCATTTTAGGCAGAGAAAACGAGCAACCACTCTGGAAGCTGGAAGTCAAAAACTTGTGGCATTTTTTTACCTAAACAAATGCTTAGCCCATTGATTCCTTATAAAAGCGGTTACCACACTGATGTATTAAGCAACTCAGGTCTGCTGACAAAGTCATGTGAACATTTCCTGTAGAGTTACTTTAAGTCAGTGGTAAAAATAAAAAAAATTTAAAATCATATTTTTAAAAATTATTGATTGAAAATAATATGGTACAGTACTATTACGTCTGGGTCTCTGTTTCATTAAAGCTCGTGTGTGTGTGTGTGTGTGTGTGTGTGTGTGTGTGTGTGTGTGTGTGTGTGGGTGTGTGTGTGTGTGTGTGTGTGTGTGTGTGTGTGTGTGTGTGTGTGTGTGTGTGTGTGTGTGTGTGTGTGTGTGTGTGTGTGTGTGTGTGTGTGTGTGTGTGTGTGTGTGTGTGTGGAACGAGCCATTTTGTGTGCGTGCACGAGCGAGAGAGAGCGAGAGCGAGAGCGAGAGAGAGAGCGCGCACCGGTACCGGAGATCGTTGTTGTTAGCTTCTGGTGCTAGCGAGCTACGCTAACGGATATACTGTAAGGAGTTTTTTCAACAACAAAGTGGAGGAGAGTCCTCTCCTGTCAGACTGAGAGGCTCAGTGAGCTAAAGGACTCTCAGTGTTATCTCAGTGGGTCTCAAACGTTTTGGTCACCATTAATGTAAACAATTATTTCCGAGGCACTCGTTTATATGATCATTATAGTTATACAAAAATAAGAGAATAAATTAAAAACAGGTATGAAATACTATATGACAGTAAAAAATGAATGAAGTTTAAAAAGGAGTGATTTGTAAAATATCCATAAAGAAAAAGTAAATCTGTTTACAGTTCTGTTTCAAATGGGTGTTGAGAGATGTATCCATAGATCTCTTCATGTTGCTCTCAAAGTGCACCAGATTGATGCTTTCAACTTCAATATTTAAAAATCTTCCAGGGGGAGCTTGCCCCCGGACCCCCCTATGTGAGGTCCAAACACCACCTATAAAAATAGCACTTTACCCCTGCTTACACCTATATGCCGTGAGCTGATTATCGAGCCTTCATTGTAACAGTCGCGGGTACACTGTATTTGCGTGGTGAGTGTTGCAGTAGAACATTCCTCTGTAGCGCCCGGTACATTAATGGGAAACCCTAAATGTTGGAGCACCCTCTATGAAACGTCAAGCTACCCCACAGCACCCCAAAATAAATCTCTGGCGCCGCCACTGAGCCTGACTATTTGTGTTGGGGGGGCCCGACTTTTTTTTTTCTGACAGAAAAAGTTTGAGAACCACTGCTTTAAGTGAACATTTGATAACCCTGGATATAGAAAATAATCTGAGACGAACTACATTTTATATTAGTATTCTTCACAATGTTTAGTAACTAGTAATTCATGACTTTAGAGACATTTAATCAAACTGTGTGCCAACATCACTGTGGAGTTATCCATTTCTTTACTGATGCAACTCCTTTCAATTCTTACAACACAGTCTGAGTGAGAGCACCATGCCTGATACCTCTATCACAGATCCAATTCTCACTACTTGATCTGCCTCGACTGAAAAACTCTATGACAAAAAATCCAATCCCAGAAGTGGCAGTTTGGGCCTGAAGCTCTGACATTAAGGACCTATTTGTTTGCACAATTCAACATCACACTGAAATCAATAAGTAACCCCGAGAACAATGTCAACACATTATCTGAATGTAACCTATTCTAAATGACTGTCAGTCCGTTATGATCAATCTGGATGATTGATTGGCTAATTTATGCTAAAAAGTCAAACCCAAATATCCCTCGATTCCCTGTGAAAGGGAACATTTTCCTGTGCCGAGTCCCATGATCTGCTGCTGATAGAACCCAATTCCCCCAGCGGGAATCATTGAAGTTCCATCTTATTTTAATCTGGCGCTGGCTGGGGGGGCTTTATAGCACCGTGAACACTCGTTTCCAATCCAACACCCACTCTCATTTCAGAAGTGGCTCCTCCTCCAGCTCCACATTTGTCTGTCCTGCTAATCCAGGTTTCAATGCGTCTCTTTGCAGACCCTGCAACAGGATTAGACGCACTAACACCCTTTATCCTACACCTTCAGACGGAGTATCTGTGCACACACCGATAGTGGGCCACTGTCATGTTGGCACTACACTGTCACCTATAGCAGTGTTTTTCAAAGTGGGGGCCCCGACCCCCCGGGGGGCCGCCAAGGGGGTCACGCAAAGTTTGAGGGAAAGGGGAATTTTTTTTTTTTTAAAGTTACATTTTTTTATTTTGATGTTATTAATAACTGCATATCTATCAATCTATGTGTCCTTTGATGCCAATCTTTTAATATTTATTAATATATATATATTTTTTTAAATCACATGACCGCCCTTCAAGCCAATCAGAATCGAGCTGCCGCTACTGAGAGTGACACTGAGTATCTGCTCAGCTTTTGGAGCAAGTGAGAGCGAGTGAATATTTCGCTCTGCAGCCGGATGAGAGCACGGATGTAGCAAATATTGATGTTTATATATGAATATAAATATGTTTATTGTTGATATTAATGTTGAATATTATATATAATATTATTAAGGCATAATTAGCTTTCAAAAATGCTAAAAATATATGTTAATTGTTCATATTACTGTTCAAAATTATATAATATTATAAAGACAGAAATCACTTTTAAAATATGTTTACTGTTGATATTACTGTTTAATATTGTGTTAAGAATGACAGAAGACACAATCAATGTAATGAATGAAAGACAACAGATACATACAAACATTTTTTAGAAGAATAACTGATTATTAATTATTAATATAAATATATATTAAGAAAATGTATTAAGCTGTGTGATTAATTTGTCATATTTTCCATCATAATGTACTAATCATTTAAAAAAAAAATTGCAACAGGGGGGTCCCCGCCAGAGGATAATGCTATATGGGGGTCCTTGGCATGGCAACGTTTGGGAACCCCTGACCTATAGAGTGGTGCAGGAGGATGTCTTTTTGTAGGCCAACCTTCCAATTGTTTAAAAAAATGCTGTGGCAAACACACTTTAGTTATACGTATGGTTCAGCAGGATAATCTCCATTTTGAGGAGATTACATTACATTACATTTAGCTGACGCTTTTGTCCAAAGCGACTCACAATAAGTACATTCGACCAGGAAGACACAACCTTGAAGAAAACAGAATCATATAAGTACATCAGGTTTCATAGAGCCAAACATTTCAAGTGCTACTCAACTGGCTTTATATAAGCCAGTCCTTTATTAGTATATAAGTGCTTTGTTAATAGTTCTATCGCTCGAAGTGGAGTCGAAAGAGATGAGTTTTCAGTTTGCGCCGGAAGGTGTGTAAGCTATCTGCCGTCCTGATGTCAATGGGGAGCTCATTCCACCATCTTGGAGCCAGGATAGCAAACCCACGTGTTTTTGCTGATGGGAACTTGGGTCCCCCTCGCAGTGAGGGTGCAGCGAGTCGTTTGGCTGATGCAGAGCGTAGTGCACGCGCTGGGGTGTACGGTTTAACCATGTCCTGGATGTAGGAAGGGCCAGATCCATTCGCAGCATGGTAAGCAAGTACCAGTGTCTTGAAGTGGATTCTAGCAGTTACCGGAAGCCAGTGAAGTGAGCGGAGGAGCGGAGATAAAGGAAACACATCAGTCACTACCGGTAAACTAAAGGCGGTTAATGTTCAGGGGGATGACATTTAGTCTTATTTAGTCACTTACTGGAAACCACTGACTTTATGACACATAGAAGCTTCACTTCAGACATTCATAAGTAAGGAATAAACTGATGTATTTCATGTTATAGAAGAACATGTTCAGATCTCTTTAGCTTGTGTTAACCACAGGTGTTTCAGGTGTTAACCTATATGACGTCTAACCTATAGGACACTTAGTTACTAGTTGAATAAATAACATGATGTATTTTTATCTACTCAAATTGATGAATTACATCTTCACAAAAAAATGATATGTGATAAAAACTGAATATTATACTATTCTAAAATAATGCAACATCTTCTTTACTTTAACTTAAAGGTCACCTATTATGTAAAATCCATTTCTTGGATGTGTCTCTTCTACATCGACATGTGTCCCCTCTTCTTCATGTCTCTCTACATCAACATGTGTCCCCTCTTCTTCATGTCTCTTCTACATCAACATGTGTCCCCTCTTCTTCATGTCTCTTCTACA